CTTGGGATGAGAGTTATTCACATTTATTAAAAAAAAAAAAATTCATCTAAAGAATCATGTAAATCTCAATCATTGAAAGTAGAAAGATGAATGGTTCAAATTTTGTATAAGTATAATTTGTAAAACTTAAGAGTAACTAGATCCCTCCTATCTCTCTCTCTCTCTCTCTTTCTATATATATATGGTTTAAGTACCATTTTGGTCCCTCAACTTTTCACCTTGGCACCAAAATCATCCCTTAACTTTAAAAAGTACTAAATTTATCCTTAAACTTTCATTTTCAGTACCCAAATGGTCCTTCCGTCAGTTAAATGACAGGTCACACGTTAAAATGCCAGCAAATCAATTCTTTTTTTGCTTAACTAATGACATGGAAAAAAAAAAGTATAGTTGGCCAACTTTTTTTATGAGTTGGCATTTCTTTTAATTTAAACTTAATAATGTCAATTTTTTTTCCACACACGTCAGAAAAAAAAAAAAATCTCTTCTTCTCTCCTTTACCTTTCCTTTTCCCTTACCTCTACAAACCCTAAAACTTGAAGCTTAGCATCTCTATCAACCTTCCCCCTTCCTTTCCCTGCTCATCCTTCTTCTTTCTTTTTCTTATTCTTTCTCTCTCTCTCTTCTCCCTTCTTCTTCCTCTCCAAATCTAGGTTTTTTTCAAACCCAAATCTAGGTTTTTCTTTCGTACTCCATTAAAATTGGAATCTAACCATTAAAATTAGGGAAAACCCCAAAGATAGCTTGAAAGGTTGAAGTGTTTATGACAAGATCAGAGAAAGTTTCAAATCTGAAATGGAAAAAAATGAAATTTTCAGCTTCTGCAAGCAAGTTGGACATCAAGATGCAGAAACCTAAACTGTTAAATAACCAAAAAGAAGAACTAAAACAAACAGAATTTGCAAAATGTAGAGGGAGTAGAGTCCTCACCTTGAAAAAGTTGGCTGTAGCAAACGAGGTCCTGAGGTTTTGAAGAGAGAAGGTAGAAAGAGGCCAGAACAAAGCCTATGGGCCATTACCTGCGAAGACGATTTTTTTCAATCACATTAATTAGTTCGCTGCTTCGATTAGATAAAGCAGTGCTGCTACCTGAAATGAAACTACGACGACAGGTGAAGATCGTTAGAAAGTGGATAGGTGAAAGAGAAGCGTCGTTGGAGAGGGTTAGGAGTCGGAGAACAAAACTAGAGAGATGAAAAGTGGAAGAAGGCGCCACCGTTGGCACTTGGCGACCGCGGTGGAGGACGGGCATAAGTAAGGAACATTAAAATTGGAATCTAACCATTAAAATTAGGGAAAACCCCAAAGATAGCTTGAAAGGTTGAAGTGTTTTATGATAGGATCAAAGAAAGTTCCAAATCTGAAATGGAAAAAAAATGAAATTTTCAAATATGGGTTCTTCTTTCGTACTCCATGCGGACCTTGCTTGTAGATCCTCCTGCTAAACGACCTCCGTCTTCCTTGTTTTCAACGAAACAACACCAACATAGTTAATATAATGGAATGATTTGTATTGCTTTTGTTATTATCACCAACTTCATCAAATTGTTAATTTATGTCATGAAACCCAAATCTGGGTTTGAGAAAAACCCAGATTTAGAGAGGAAGAAGAAGGGAGAAGAGAGAGAGAGAGAGAGAAAGAATAAGAAAAAGAAAGAAGAAGGTTGAGCAGGGAAGAAAGGGGGATGGTTGATAGAGATGCTAAGCTTCAAGTTTTAAGGTTTGCAGAGGTAAGGGAAAAGGAAAGGTAAAGGAGAGAAGAAGAGATTTTTTTTTTTTTGACGTGTGTGGAAATAAAATTGACATTATTAAGTTTAAATTAAAAAAATGCCAACTCATAAAAACAGTTGGCCAACCATACTTTTTTTTTTTCCATGTCATTAGTTAAGCAAAAAAAGAATTGATTTGCTGGCATTTTAACGTGTGACCTGTCATTTAACTGATGGAAAGACCATTTTGGTATTGAAAATGAAAGTTTAAGGATAAATTTAGTACTTTTTAAAGTTAAGGGATGATTTTGGTGGCAAAGTGAAAGCTGAGGGACCAAAATGGTACTTAAACCTATATATATATATACACACACACATTTATATATATATATAAGGAAAAGTACATATCAATTCTCAAAATAAATTAAAGTTCTAATCTTAAATGATGTTATTTTATTTAATTAAATTTCAACCATCGAAAGTGAAAAAATGAATGGTCAAGATTTGTCTAAGTG